CAGGCGGGTCTCGAACCCGCGGGCTCAGGCAATCCACTCACCTCAGCCTCCCAAAGGCACGGGATTACAGGCTGAGCCACCGAGCCCGGCCTGGCATCTCTTTTTATCCTCCTGTTGTTTTGGGCTGTTACCTTTCTTCACTTGTATTTAATAGAGGGTGGGGACGGATCTTAGAGAAGAAGAAATACGCATGTGTGGTTAGTCCACAGTCCGGAATTCTGTGATTTCACAACCATCTTTCTAGCGCAGTGGGTTTATGTTAGGAAGCATTTACTAATGTCCTACATTCTCTCATATTATAGGATTTTCACAGGAAACCTTTTGTAACATTTGTGATTAGAGTATTAGGACTGGCACTCATCACATAAGATAACTGTGTCCTATCAAACTATTGCCAGATATCGTCATTACACAGTAGGACTTAAATTAGCCCATAGTGTGCTCTGTAATACATGAATAATAAGGGGACATTGTGTACTGGGGTTCTTATACTAAAGCAAGTCAAGATCCTAATGTTAAGCAGCCCACAGCCAAATAAAAGGAAAAGGCAATTGATTATGGGAACTATGTTTGTGAAAGTCTATAGAATTGGAAGACTTTTTCTCCTTCTGAAATTCTTGACTTTAGGAAAGCATTCTGAAGGATGTTGGTTATATGCTTAAGTTTAAGGTGGAACGAGGGTATGGTGGGAGGTTCAGAGCTATGGGAGGATTTCATTTCACAGACTAGAGGAAAGCAGTATTTTGTATAATTCCTTCTAGGCTTTGGGAAGGTATAGTTATTAAGGTTTCATTTCATCTCTTGCTTTAAATGTTATCTTAACTCTCACATTTGTACCTTTTGCTTCCAGGACTTTAATATGAAGGCCCAGCCATAAACATCTTTAAGTTCCCAGATGCAAGTAGTTTTTAAATATCTGTTGAAAGTGTGATATAGAACAATAAAAAATAAATGAAATCAACGATATAAATTATGATACTCCATCACTGTACTCAGTGTAAAAATTGCAAGGTTTATATATAGCTAGAAAATCAGAACAAACCTTATGAACACATATTTAAAACTCAAGTGAAGATCATTTGAGCTATCTTTATTGGACTAGTGTTTTGCTCACCTGCCCACAAAAATTTGTTTATGTCATTGTT